GTTGCTGCTGATCCGTTGCATGTTGCTGATCTGTTTCATGTTGCTGCAGATCAGTTTCATGTTGCTACTGATCAGTTTCATGTTGCTGCTGATCAGTTTCATGTTGCTGCTGATCACTTGCATGTTGCTGCTGATCAGTTGCATGTTGCTGCTGATCCGTTGCATGTTGCTGCTGATCTGTTTCATGTTGTGTTCATTCGTGCTCATCTGCTCACTCAGACTCATGTTCGTGCTGCTGTTCAGTTGTTGTTTTTATCTTGTTAGTGCTCAGTGTGTTCTAGTTGTTTTTCTGAGTTCATATCTTAGATCAGGGTCTGCAGCCTTTACGATCAAAAGAGCCATTCCTGTCCCTTTGTTCACTAAATTAAACGTGTCCAGAGCCACAACACCTGCTACAACTGGGATTCTCAACTGGTGGCCCACGGACCACTTGAAGTTTGTTGGAGGGCGCTTTTCTGGACAGTAGTGTTTATAAAAGTAAAAATATCTAACGATTTTTAACATTTATTGATATTTTTACGCTCCAAGACAAAAACAAAAGACAAGATTCTTGTAAAGAAGGAAAAATATTTAGTTTTTGCCCAGTTTCTAAAAACTAAAACAATAAATTGCATTCTTATGTTTTTTTATTATTATAGAAAAATTACGTGTCCTACTTTGAAGAAATAAACCTTAAAGTGAAAGTGAGTATGTTTTACTCCTTGTTTCTAGTATTCATATATTTGCTAAATAAATTGCAGGAACACGACTAAAACTAGCCCTTTTAGTCGTTATAACCAATAAAATTCTGTTTAGTTTCAGTTGTGGTCAACGCTGCAGAGGGACCAAAGAGCCGCATGTGGCTCCAGAGCCGCAGGTTGCAGACCCGTCTTAGATCTTATGACTGTTTTTATTTACAGTTTATACTTTTGTTGGATGTATCTGGGACCCCGAGTACATAATGTCGTTCCACCTCGTGTACCACGTGATGTGAATGACAATAAAGAACCTTGAATCCTAGAATTAAATCAGCTGACAGGTGTTTACAGTTAAAAGTATTTTTTTAAGTCTAGCATATTCTAAAGTATTTCTTTTAGCGCATGTGCAACTGAGCTGACGGTACGGATCGTGCAGTGACAGGACCTCTGGTGTTCAGGAGGATGCAGTCAGAGGGTGGGCAGGAAACAGGAAGAGAACTGAACACGGAGTTTCAAAATAAAGCTCATAGATACTCTTCAGAATAAGAGTCTAACCGTTAGTGTTTCTGTGGGGCTTTAGAGAAGATGATGTGTTGGCAGAAATCATTCTGGATGTTCTTCTGGTTCTAACAGAACATTAGCTCCACGGTTACCATGGCAACCTGCTGCTGCTAAAGCCCAGTATGAGAACGTATCAGGTCCCTTAAGGAAGAACAAAACTTTGTTTTGATCCAGCTGACCGTTACATTTTAAAGTTTAAAAACCGATCCAGAGACGAGTCTCAGACTGAACCAACACCAGGACTCTAATCACAGAGCTGGTGACCCAAACAGGAAGTGGCATCAAACATCACACACCTCCTTCCTGTAAGGATCAGTAAAACTACAGTTGGCCCGCGTCATTAAAACATGTTTGTTTTTTCCCGACAGCAGAGTTCCTGCAGAACCAGCTGAGTTCTCCGTCCTGAAGTTCCACCCACAGTCCAGTTGTTTACGTCTCATCATTTACACTTTACAAAGATCAACATTTTCTAAACGTTTGGTTCTGAATAAAATCATCACAGGCTGCTCACATTTTCAGGGAAACTCAATTCCCCGAGGTTTCCCAGATTTTTTAATCCTGAAATTGCAGGACATATTTCAGTCACAGGAACCTCTCAGAACTGAAGGTTCTCAGGTGGCAGCACAGTCACATTCTGACAGGAAGTAGACCGCAGCCTACGGTACGAGCACACGGCAATCATTCCTAATCGTTATACTGTGGAACATCACATACTAGAAAACTACCGTAGACAATCAGCGAGGACACGTCCTCTGTAGAAGAACAGTGTCTCCACGCATTACTCAAGGACGGGGCCCCGCCACGTCAATGGAACTGAGACCTGCCTACCAGAACAAGAAGCCAGGGGGTGTTTCCTGATTTAATCACTAGACCAGTGGTTCCCAACCTATTTTCATCACAGTGGACCCATACTGAGAGATTGTTTTGACCGAACAGACAAGGAGCAATAAGTGGCTGGAAAAAGGAAATTGAGCTGGAAGACCAATTAACACTAATTAGGTCAATTGACAACATGATTGGGTATAAAAAGAGCTTCTCAGAGTGTCAGTGTCTCTCAGAAGCCAAGATGGTAAGAGGATCACCAATTCCACCATTGTTGCACAGAAAGATAGTGCAGCAATACCAGAATGGTGTTACCCAGCGTAAAATAGCAAAGACTTTTAAGTTATCATCATCAACCGTGCATAACATCATCAAAAGATTCAGAGAATCTGGAACAATCGCTGTGCGTAAGGGTCAAGGCCGTAAAACTCTACTGGATGCTCGTGATCTCCGGGCCCTTAAACGTCACTGCACCTCAAACAGGAAT